GGAATGCCCTGGCAAGGAAGGGCTGCTGGCTGGATTCTCCCAGGGAGAAAGAGGAGGAGGGGAGCCAGGAGCTGCTCTCCCTGAAGCCTGGGGAGAGGCCTGGTGCAGCCCCAACCGGGCCACCTGGGCAGAGGGTCCTGCACCAGCTTTGAACTATCCTTGTTTGGGACCTGCACACCAGCTCTGGGGACCTGGGCTCCTGAGAATAGCCCCTTCCCCCTTACACACCTCTTTGTACAGCTCTGTGCTGCTGCTACCCCCACATTGGCAAGTGGTGAGCTGCCCACACCTCTCCAAACTGAAAGAACTAGCACTCAACCTAAGGAAGCCAACAGGAAAATCCCCACTAGAGGTTTTCATTGCAGTCTTCTAGGTGCAAGTCCAGCTCAACACTCAGTGAGGCTTCTCTTCTGCCACACCTGGGTTTAGAGTGAGACTCCAGCTGCACAAACAATGAAAGTTATCTTTCATTTGAGTTTGGGAGCTGGTGGTTATCTATTGAATTAAATTACAGTATTTCCTCTTAGGGTTCTCCCACCCAAAAATGTCTATACACTGCATTGTCACCAAGTTACTTTGACAGTCATTTAAATAATCAGATGCATATTGGAGTTATTATGAGCAAAATTCCTGCCCTCAGTCACCCAGTCTCTGCTGGAAGTCCTGGAATTAGATTTCCTAGGGCACATGCATATGATGTCAAATGAATGTAAAATACATAAAACCCCAAACAGCAAAACTATGCAAGGGACTACAGCAGATGAAACCCCTCTTTCCAAATATTGTTAGTGAAACTGTACCTTGAGCAGCAATTTCCTGAAGTTCCTTCAATAAGTTTTGGTGGCGAAGGATAGAAATGATGCGTTCATCTGCAATAGGAGAGACATGGTACCAAAGGTGGTCAAAGAAAACCTCCCCCCAAATCCAGGAAATGAAAACCAGCCCCAAATGCCACCTCCTTTTTAGTTTACACTCTCCCTCAGTCTGATGTGTTGCCACATCTCTTAACCATGTTGTTAAGATGACAAGGAAGGTTCCATGAAAATCAGGCAGCTTCCTGTTCCCCAGAACTCCCCTGGACATGGTGCCAGGATGATGCATGGCCTGGGCTGAACAGCAGCTCTAGCCCTTCTTCTGGGGCTTGGTGCAGCCTGGTGGGGTGGCCATGAGGAAGGTATGTCAGGGACCCCATGTGATGTGCTAGAGCATGTGTCAGGGCAGGACTAGCCTCTTCTTGCCAGTTCTGCTCTTGCTGATACCCAGCATTAAATCTGAGCCTGTACCTCCTCTGAGTGTTTCTAGGCATTCCTCACTGATTGGCAGGGGGTTTGGCTTGGATAAAGTATCAGAGATGACCTCTACGATGCACTTCATCACCTGGAAAGACACAAAAAGACAAATCCAAGCACAGTGGGTTTTTTGTTTGTTTTGGTTTTTTGCTTGTTTGTTTTGTTTTAGTTTTTGGTTTTTTGTTGTGTTTTTTTTCCCCCTAAATCTACTTGTTACCAAGGCTAAAGTGTAGCAGATGATGACACAGATCTTCTTGCTTTTCTGGTTGAGCCAGAACTGAATGTTCGGTTCCTCTTTTACCTAACTTGGGAACAGAAGGTACCTACTGATACTGAGAAGTGAGCAAATGACACATGGCAACGGAAAGAGCTTCAACATGACACACACTTCAGCTGAGGATCCCACGACTCCAGCTCATCCCAGAGGCTGGGCTCACCAGGATATTAAAGGGAAATGCATATATACATAGAGACCTCAAAATCATCTTTACTTAAGACAATGTATATCAGCCTGCATCTCATAAATGGGCTCAGTAGGAGGTTGTAGAGAGCAATAAGTGGTCATAGCTATTCAAGAGGTGACTTCAAAACCTTGCAAGCTATTCAAGCCCAGAGAAGGGCATCGTAGTTAGATTGTATCGACACATGGAGGGCAAGTTGAGGCAAATGGTATCTTCAAACACAGAGAAATAGTGCTCTCAAGCTCTAGAGAAGGACAAGGCACTCTGGAGAGGTGTTTGACCTTGAGCTTGAGTGTTCAAGCCATCTACTATAGACTGGAACAGCTGTACACTGAGGCAGTCATCTGAAAGCAAAGAAGTTCCCACACTTTCCTTGGAAACATCTGCAACTGCCTGGAGCACCTTCCCAGATGGTGAACTCTGGGCCTGTCCTTTCCAGCAGCCCTCTTCTTCATTGTAAAATGAGAATAATTTATCTAGTTTGTTGCCTGTACTGGCACTGCAGGCCCAGCCCTTCACCCATGCAACTGCAGCACCACTGATCCTACAGGGATCACCCAGTGCTAGTAGGTACAGTAAGAGAATGAAAGCCAGAAGTGCAAAGGCAAGGTGGCACCTCTGGCAGGGGTGAAGGCACCTTCACCACACTGAGATACACCACCAGGAGCCCTACTTTGTGGTCATGGTAGCTCCAGAAGGGAGAGAACCCACACAGGAGAGAAAGTAGCATTCATTACAGTCCAGTGCCACTTAACAGTGCAGGAGCCCAGCTGCCTGCTTCAAAAGGATGATAACTCCTAAAGCAGCCCAGAAAGTAGGCAGAGCTTACAAGTGCCTGAGGAATAAAAGAGGCTAAATTGATAAAAGGGATGTAAGTAAGCCTTGGAGGCAGAAAACTCACTCACTGAACCTCTTTCTTCTGAGGATTTCTGCAGGCAGTCTTAAGAGCCCTGACCTCCCTCACAAGGTGCCATTCTCAGGAGAGCAAAGTACTGTTCTGCAGTAGAAATTAAACACAAGTCAGCAATTCCCAGTTACCCACAATGTTGCTCATTTAAGCAACTGGATATATTCATTGACCAGCTGCAATGGGCAAATTTTCATCCTGTGTAAGGAAAGAATTCTGCTTTTGCAGATCACAACCATAAAATGCTGAAGTCTTAAATATTTACAAGGTTTGAGGGGATTGCCTGCTGGATTTAAAATGTCATAGGAAATAATCTAACAATAGAAAAGCAGGGAAATTTCCCTGGTATCATTGTACTATACCACAAGCAATCCATTAATATTGATTTTACATTACTTGGAGTCACTTCACTCTACCATTATTTATACCTCTATTTAAATAGAACAAACCCCATATTTTTATACTTCCCTCCTATGTTTCCCAACCTCTGGAACCACTTATTGTAGCTGTATTCTATGCAGCTTCAGAAGTAAGGACTTTCTCAGCATGAGAAATAAGAATCTGGTCCAAGGAAACACTCCGTACAAGCTTTTTGAAGACTTCTAAGCTGATTTAAGTCTTTGTCTGAACACAAAGAAACACATCAGTCACCACTGAAATGCAGCCAACTCTGTGGAATTACTTCATAACAAAATAAAAAGTGCAGTCATTCCACAACACTATCCTTGACTTTTTCTAAGAGCAAGTCTTGCAGAGTGAGACTTCACAAGGTCTTGAAATAACAGCCTGCATCAGAAAATAAAGGAGATCCTTTCCAAATGAATGTAATTAATCCAGTGCAGAAACCTGGACTGGAATTTTGCCATAACTATCCTCTAACTGTGAGCATGTAACTAGATCCTTAAGAGCTGCTCATGCAGAAATCTCCAAAGGATCATGTCCTTACAAGGATAGACTTCACCACTTTTGAGCTTGGCTGTGCTCAGTCCCTTCTGAAACATATGCTTGTAAGTGGGAAATTGTGTCCTTCAAGCACAAGAGTGGGCAAACACCAGGGAGACTGTACGTTCTTTGGTTGTGTTCAGCCCCCCATGGAAAGCTCTTGGAATGATATCCCTGCTCTGATCTGTCCTGTGAGATCCAGACTTCCTTCACTGAAATGCTGTGTCTCAGAGGGCAGTGAAGGTGGAATAGACCTAACGGCTCCTTCCAGTTGCAGCAAAAAGGTGTGGCCTGAATTTTTTCCTCACAGCTAGAGCCTGTGTCAGTGCAGTAGCCAGGGAGGGAGCAGGCTTGTGAGACAATCCTTCCTTGGTGGAAGCATTTCCATGGAGCTACACCAGCTTCCACAAAAGCTAAATGCATCTTGCTAGGAGGTGCCATGTTTTACACATAGAACATACTGGGGAACAGATCTTACAAGGAAAATTGTGGAATTAGTGGGTTGTCCCTCCAGATGCCAGTGAGCATCCTGCTCTGGCATGGCCAGTTGAAGGGGCAAGTCCATGCCCCCTTTCTCAGTCAGCAGCACACAGCCTGCAGCAGTCACCAAGTGTCTCACAGCTCATGTCTCAGCCCCAGCAAGGGCTAAGCAGGCTGAAAGTCTTAACAAAGCAACAGTTCTCCAGGCCCAGGCACATCTGAGAGAGGGAGGCGTTTCTCACAAGGCTTGCTCTGCAGGTAATGCTGAGTGAAGACACTGTACAGTGGAGCCTGTGGCTGAGAGAGTGACATGAATGTGCCCCCCTCTACTGCTGCCTTGGGAAAAACATTATGTGGCTCAAAGACTTCAGGAAACAAAGATATTAAAGAAGTAGGGAGGAAAGGGCTGGTGTTTCCTTTCAGGAAGTTAATGTCTATAGAAGTCTTAATTTGAGCAGTTAAGAGATCAGCTTATCTGAAAGACTCTAGAAGGGGGGAGGGCTCTGTCACAGATCAACACAGGCAAACACACCTATCCAGGCATTTAGGTGCCAAGAGCCCTACACACTTGCGAAGTGCAGCTATGAATGTCAGAGAGGTATGACACAGACGTGTGCACCAAAGACTACAAAAGAAGGCTGGAGAGGTCAGCCAAGTCACACAGGGCTCGTGTCCAGACAGGCTGAGGACAGATTTACAACCTGAGAGCAGCCACTGCTCTGGCATGGCCAGTTGAAGGGGCAAGTCCATGCCCCCTTTCTCAGTCAGCAGCACACAGCCTGCAGCAGTCACCAAGTGTCTCACAGCTCATGTCTCAGCCCCAGCAAGGGCTAAGCAGGCTGAAAGTCTTAACAAAGCAACAGTTCTCCAGGCCCAGGCACATCTGAGAGAGGGAGGCGTTTCTCACAAGGCTTGCTCTGCAGGTAATGCTGAGTGAAGACACTGTACAGTGGAGCCTGTGGCTGAGAGAGTGACATGAATGTGCCCCCCTCTACTGCTGCCTTGGGAAAAACATTATGTGGCTCAAAGACTTCAGGAAACAAAGATATTAAAGAAGTAGGGAGGAAAGGGCTGGTGTTTCCTTTCAGGAAGTTAATGTCTATAGAAGTCTTAATTTGAGCAGTTAAGAGATCAGCTTATCTGAAAGACTCTAGAAGGGGGGAGGGCTCTGTCACAGATCAACACAGGCAAACACACCTATCCAGGCATTTAGGTGCCAAGAGCCCTACACACTTGCGAAGTGCAGCTATGAATGTCAGAGAGGTATGACACAGACGTGTGCACCAAAGACTACAAAAGAAGGCTGGAGAGGTCAGCCAAGTCACACAGGGCTCGTGTCCAGACAGGCTGAGGACAGATTTACAACCTGAGAGCAGCCACTGGCCTATTTTTAAGAACATGCAGGTTTAAATACCACACCACACACATGCAAACACAGATGTATACACCCCCTTGAATGCACACAGTTGCAGCAATGCCTGTTTCTGAACTACATCTCCCTCTACTCTCCCGAGTCACCTCCTGTTGGGAGCTTTGAAAAGCCAAAGGTAGGAGGACTGGGGAAGGTAATACCCAGCCTCCACCCCCAGCCTCACCATTCTCTATACAGGCTTGTTTGGTCCCTCTGGTACATCCTGAGGGACTTACCTCGTGCTCAGGTGCCCAGAAGTGGGTGCACAAAGGGTAGATCCTAGTAGGGAGGGAGTGGGGTCAGATGGATCCTGCTGTAGGAATCTCACACAAATCCCTGGCACTTCCTAGCAGGAACAGCCAGAACTAACCATAACACACTTCTTCTTCACTCACCATTTCCACTACAGGCCCATCCTTACCTTAGTGTCCCCTTTATTCATGTCGTTCGCCACAGGAAGAGAGATGGCTGTAAAATGAGGGGAGGGCAAAAAAAGAAAGCTTGTTATTCACCTCCTCTGGACAGCAAGCAGATAAATCCTATCCTGCTAAAAACAGGAGTTGATAAGAGGTGCATCTTGCTCTGGGGGAAGTGGTGCTTGGGTGCAGCAGCTGGATGTGTGCACTGTGCCCCCTCCCAGCCTTCCCTAGGGGGGAAGAGGGAAGAGGGAAGAGGGAAGAGGGAAGAGGGAAGAGGGAAGAGGGAAGAGGGAAGAGGGAAGAGGGAAGAGGGAAGAGGGAAGAGGGAAGAGGGAAGAGGGAAGAGGGAAGAGGGAAGAGGGAAGAGGGAAGAGGGAAGAGGGAAGAGGGAAGAGGGAAGAGGGAAGAGGGAAGAGGGAAGAGGGAAGAGGGAAGAGGGAAGAGGGAAGAGGGAAGAGGGAAGAGGGAAGAGGGAAGAGGGAAGAGGGAAGAGGGAAGAGGGAAGAGGGAAGAGGGAAGAGGGAAGAGGGAAGAGGGAAGAGGGAAGAGGGAAGAGGGAAGAGGGAAGAGGGAAGAGGGAAGAGGGAAGAGGGAAGAGGGAAGAGGGAAGAGGGAAGAGGGAAGACCCTGGCAGCAGAGCCCAGATGGGGCACTGCAGCAACCGGCCCATTTATATATCTCAGCCCCTCGGAAATGGCGTCAGGAGGAAGGCACCTCCTCCTCTCTCCCCCCTCCCCGCGCACACAGCTTTCCCATCAGCCTCTACAGCCCGGCGGGTGCGGGAGAAGGGGCAGCACGGCAGGGGTGTCCTGAGTCCCCGGCTCCCCCGGGCAGGGGGCTCCGGCAGCAAGAGCCCGGCTCCAGTTGCTCCATCTGCTCAGACTCAGAGGTGCAGGAAGGTTGTGAGGTCTCTTTCCAGAATATAACTTTCCCAGCGCCTCGCCCAACGCTGGAGATCCACAAGCACCTCTGTGTGTGAGCTCTGTATGTACCTGTAGCCACCCCCTGCGTCCCAGCCAGCAGAGCCACCTGCAGGTGGATTTACCCTCTAGGGGTGCCTTTGTCATTTAGTGCCCGCAGGAGGTACCCAGACAAATAGTTTAGAACGGATGCTGAAGTTCTTAGATGCCCATTAAGTGATAAAATAAATGTCTGTCAGTAACCAGAGGACTGGTCACCATGCGATGGGTTTGCTAATGGAGCTGAGAAGTCCCAGCTATTTTATGAAAGATTTTTAAGTGGTAGGTTACCATTTGGGATAAATGGCAAAGACTGGTGGGTCTGTTGCTCAACTATTGTGACTCGGCAAGCAAATTTTAATAGATTGGTCTCTTCTGTTCAGTGGATCATAACAACCTATAGCATCACCCTATACTCCAAAGCTGAAGTAACTGAGATGACCTGCTCACTAGTTTCCATTGACAAGGGAAATAGAGGCAGTAAGGAATTGTACCATTATCTTAGTCACAAGCATTTCCATGCACTTGATGTCTGTTCTTTGAAGCTGTCAGGTCAGACAGCTGGGTTCTCTTTTGAAAGTGACTCCACTGCTTCTTTAGGACAATGCTTCTTTAGCACCTCTGCTGTTCTGTGTTATCCCTCAAGCAATATTAGAGGTCATGGAAGCCAGGAACTTATACCAGAAAACCAAATTCAGGAAAATGTACTGTCCTTCTTCCCCAGCCTAGCTCATTCTTCTTATTGGAGACCCAGCACCCCGGGAGCTAGAGAGAACAATAATGACAGGAACTTTTCTATGAGACCAGGGGATACAGACTGCACTCTAGGTTTCTACCTCTTTACATATACAATTTTTTTTCTCCCAAATATCCTCTAATATGTCTGATTAAAATGCATACTTCAAAAGGCACATTTGGATTATAAAGGCCCACTCATAAAAATCAAAGCACCCCTTGTTTTTGCATTTTCTATTTACTAGCAGAAAAAAGCTGGAAATATATTGATCCTCTGAACAGTGCTTTGTGGATGACATTGACTGATAATTAAATGTTTACAAGACCATGAAATGAACACCTGTGACAGTTCTTGTTGCATGGGGAGCCTGCATCCTCCAGGAGCAATAGATATGCTTTCTTTTTGGTTGTTGGGTTAGGGTTTTTTCATGGATGTGTGTTGTTGAATTATTTACTGGGGAGGGTGGAGGTGTGGGTCTCATATACAAAGGCCTTTTACTCCTTCAGGATACACCAGAGCATTTTAATCTCCGAGTCTGAAAAACTGAACATGATTAAGCTTGTTAATTCCCATGTATTCCTAAGAGAGAAACAGATTGATCTGCCTATCATGCTATGCTTACCTAGTCAATATTTACTTATCCTTACATATAAATATTGCTCTTATTAGGGCAACAAATGATCTCAGTTCTAATCCAGTTTCTTACATGAAGCCCTTTTTTCCCCTGGGCCCTGTTTTTGAGAAATGTAACAGGGTATATACTGACCATGACTGTATTTTTTTCTGTGGTCTTGCATCCATTAAGTTCATTGCAAAGGAGAAACTAAATGTTTTCCAGGTATGACAGGCATTCTCCCAGCATCATATAACAAATTATTAATTTTTCTATTTATTGCCCCAGGAAAATGGATATGAAACTGTTAATCCAGCAATCGGTACTTCTGCTATTGGAATTTGTCTCATTAAGCACAGCTATATTAGGAACTGTCAAAGTAAAGCATGTCAGGGAAAGATTTATGTAAAAAATCAAAAGTGATCAAATAAAAAGGTGTAAGATACTCTGCCACTCACAGAAAGGCAATGCCTGAAGCAGACTTCAAGGGAAGGGCAGATTTTTGAGTCTTTTAAGTAGTTTGTGTTTTAGTACATGGACAACAGGAATAGGTTTTCAGTAGGTAGCAAAGTGATGCAGATGGACATTTCTGACCAATTCCAGTCTCATAAAAAGCTGTTTATGTCTGTAGAGAGCAATTCAGTTTTTCCTTATAGCTGACCAATTTCTAGTGCATGAAGTGTGGGGAGAATGTGGAGAGGCATAAACCATTACCTGCCTGTGGTCACTAACATGACACATGCAGGTGCACAAGGAGATGAGTTATTGTGATGGGAAAAGTCTGTTTGTCTTCCTGGCCTGAAAAGTGGTTTGAGAAGATGGCAACGTCTGGGTGTCTGGAAGCAGAAAACCAATGCTGTTGCATTGCCCATGCTCTGAGCTGAGTGAAGAAGAGGGCTAGCCTGAAAGCCATATTAATGTGCAAACCTCTTCCTGTGCATAAGGTCATGTGCTCAAGAGATCATGTGGCTTCACTGCTATTCTCAGTCAACACATAAGAGCCAATTTTTTAAATTTCAGAATTCAGGAAATAAACCCAAAGAATCTGGGATGTGGCTTTGAGCTGCTTTGAGAGCTTTGTTCTCTAATGTCTTGGCTGAAACTGGGTTAAGAATTCACCCCTCTCCTGTGCTTGGAAATGCTGACACTGCATTTCAGACTGCTGTGATTTTACAGATCTGAGAACTCAGGCACAGAAAGATAAAAGATGTAATTTTTCACAAGATATCAAAAATGGTTTGAAACCAAGGCACAGCTATTATACCCACCCTAAGGAAAAAAAACCCCAAACATTAAGCATAAAATAGGCAACAATTGCTTTCTTGCAGATAGAATAAATTGCTACCTCTTTGACTGAAAACTTGAATGTAACTTCACTACCAAACCAGGTCTATTGAGACCCCTACATCACGTATTTTCCTCTTTCCCATGTTAGTCAATCACACTTGCCTCTCAGTTCTCTCATACAAGCCTTGCTTGCCTGTCTGCAAATAGAAATGAACTTCAAAGCTCAGATTGCTGTTGTGACTATCCATCTACACTGTTAAAAGGCAGTCCTCTCCTTTTTCAGGTCAGAGGCAAACTGATGTTGACTTGCTTTGATTTTCTTAGTCTAGACTGTGCTTGCACCAACCTGAAATTAATTGATTTTCCTGTTCAAAGGTTTACTTACAGCCCATAAAAAAGGCCATCGTTGTGCCCAATCCTGACAACAGCTGCTGCTCTGCCTGTCCATTTCCATCCTTGCCTGGCATGCACAGCACTCCCTGGGGCAAATGGAGTATGTTCTCTGTTGGGAGAAGAGACTTCTCTATAACAATCACAGAATGTCATCTGGGCAACCTTACGAGTAACTTGCACCTCAATATAATTTTTCTAAGCATTAGTCAAACACCAATCTGGAAAATATCATGCTTCTCCAATGCCTTGGTCAGTTCACCTAGCTGATAAACATAAACCCTCATTGGTTCCTGTGAGCCCCACTGAATCTGTTAAAAAAGATGTGGAGATTGAGGTTCTGCCGAGGCAGAGTTATCTTGAACAATCTCCTCAGGAAATGACTGATTATTCCCATGGCTCCCTACACCACTCTCTCCCCCAAAAGTGCAAGACACAAAAGCCAGACTTAAGGACCTTCAGGACACCTCTGTTCCCCAAGAGCATTATTTTCTGAGCAGTGGTGATAATACATCACTGGAACTACTTACCTGGAGATCTGGAGCATAAGGACACAGCAAACGCCATACGGGATTGGAGCAGGGAAGCAGGTTGCAGCCAGAGACCTGTGGGCTTCCCCCAGGCAGAGGGGTGGGGATAGGGCCCGTTCCAGCTCTTGTGCTGAGCTGATTCCTACCTTCCAAATCTCCCCAAAGCTGGGCATTTGCCCTGATGTTTAACAGTGCTCTACAAAGTTTTACTGACAATTAGAAGTAACTAGTAACTAGAAGTAACTAGAATGTCCCTCTGAACATTCTCTTCTCAAGCTTGGTACCTTCTCAGCCTGAGGACTTCTTATGGCAACAAGAACTGCAGCTCACTTGAACACTACACAAATATTTTATCTGTTGTTTTTAAATTGCTTCTTATCCTGATGCTAAAAGCTGGGAAAAACAAAAGTTCTCCTCTCTTCTCTAGTCCAGTGAGGTTTTCCTGGGCACTTAGATTCCCCCTTACTCTTCTCCTTTCCAAGAGAAACAATTGTAATCATCTGATTCTCACACCAGCCAGTGAGTCCCACAGACTAATTACCTACAGCATAGTGTAAAGAGATCCAGGTGTATCCTGCTCTCACTAGGACATCTTTAGTCTTCACCTAGTGTCCTGGAAACTTTCTGGGGATACCTGAAATACCTCTTTTTCATTGTAGCAATGATCATACACATGTGTTTCAGGACTTAGTACCATTCAAGATCTATTTATACCCTCATATAAAAGACATTGTGAAGAGGATAGAGAGGGTGTATGAAGGTCTTAGATAGGCTGCAACAGCCAGTGGAAGAGAGTAGTTTCAGCCTGTATTAAGCTATCTGACTCAGCCTGGATAAAGCAAGAAAAAAGGCTCCCACTGTGGCTTCATTGGTCTCAGTTTGGCAGCTTCCCTCAGCTTTGGTCCCTTCCTTCCATCCATTTGCCCTGATTAGGGTCAGGCTATTCTCCAGACAGCCCAAGCAGCACTGTGGGCAGGTTTTGCAGTGCAGATGGCTCTTACCTTAGAGGTTCTGTTGATAAGGCTGTTTTCAAACACCAAATTGCATGTTAATGCCAGTTAATGAATGTTCTCTTTACTGGCAAAGCAAACCTTTCCCTCTGTGCTCAGAGCAGAGAACAGGAGGAGGTAGTCTTTCAGGTATTGAATTGCCTGAAAGCATCAGCATAGAGCAGCCTGAGAAACAGCCACAGAATCTTAAATTACTGTTACTGGGCTTTTCCTCACCCCACAGCAGCTCAGGTTTCCTTCCTGACCAATACTTATTCTTCCCAGGAGAGCAGGGGCTGCAGTGCTTGCCCTTGGGGAGCAGCAATCACCTTCCACAGAGAAGCAGCAGCAGCACGAGGCACTTTCAAGTGCAGCAGAGCCCCTGCTGAGCCCCATCCAGATGCTCTGCTAATATTATGGTCCAGACAGGTTCCTCCACATTACAGGATGAGACAAAGAAAAGTTGGGGCATCCTGAGGAAGCTCTCTGCTCCTCGGTTTGCTCTGTGTGGGGGATGTGTTTGAGTGTCTACTACTGACTTTGCAGAGATCTCCTCTCTGTTTGAACTCTCAGCTGAGTTCAGACACAGCCTCTGCTACCAGCTGCTTCTGGGAATATTTTAAGACAAACCACAATTTCTACTTTGCTGGAGATTAAAAAAAAAAAGAAAGGAAGAAAAGCCTGACCATGCTTCCCTCTTGGTTTTTTAGGGTTTTTTACTGAAGCAATGTCTGCTGGCTCTCAATAGCTTTTTTGTCTTATAGGAGCAGCTAGATAAGCACAAACATGGTGAAATCCTTGGACGTGTACCATGCCATGTAAGAGGCACTTGCTGTCTTGTGTAACCCCAGGGAAGAAGAAATGGAAGGGTTTCCCCCAGGCTGAGAAGATAAATGAATACCTTGTTCACTTTGTATTTAAAGCTACAGTGAGTATGTGACATTCTGTACTGAGGGGAACACTGCAGCTGTTTTGCTGGACATTGATTCACGTAGTGAAAAACTGGAAGTGTAAGCATCAAATTTGTTATTTGCATTTATAAACACACAGTTCATTAAGAGCCTGAACCCAAACATTCAGTTGAAAAACTCACCCTTTTCAGTGAGTTTCGGTTTGAGTCCTAGACCTGGCTTCCTTCCCTCAGTTTGGGATACATTTCTCAGAGGCAATGGTATTATTTAAGTGTACTCAGGCAAGGACTAAAAATATTTGTGAGGGTGTCAGCTACAAAGGGGAATAACTTGTTCAGAAAAAGTCTTTAAAAGAGTAGAAAAAAATGTATCGGTCAATATTATTCATCACCAAAAAGAAAGACGGAAAATCAGTTTGAAATCTGTATGTCTAACAGCAGAGTCAACACTTTATTCCCTCTGGATATTAAGTTAGAGCCACTGATCAGTTTTGTTTTGCTCAGCTGGAGATTTTTGTAGACCTAAACCTGCAATAATACAAAAAACTTGGAGAGTAAAAGGCTATAGAAAGTCTCCTGATTGCCTAGATAAATCCTGAGCTGAAGCAGGCTCCTAAAAACTGAAGCTGCATCTCATGGTAGCTGAGAAGGGTCAGTTCTCTTGGGTCACTTGGAGAGGAAGTACTAGCCATGTCAGCAATTGCTTATTAATTAAGCCTGATAATTCCCCATTTGTGAACAGACTACTTGACCCAAATCCAGGCAATGGTTGCAAAACATTTAATTAGATCCTTACTCCGGGTTTCCTGTACGTTCCTGTGGAAGGATGCAAGCATCAGACAGCCCACCTATGGGTCTTGGGAGCCTGGCTCTGGCCCTTCTTCCTTTGGGAGGCTTTTAGGAAGGCTGCTTCAGGACTTGATCTTCAAGCAGTCGCATGGATGGGATTTTGAATTTGAACGGTACACGAGCAAACTCCTTGTACATACAGGTAGTGTAAACACCCTTATTCATATTGGAAAGCCAAAATAATTTATAATGTTGCCAAAACCCCAGAGCAACACTTCATAGGTGTATCAAAGTGGGACACCTACTCTTGCTTTGAAAGGGATTGTCAGGTATCAGGGATGACTCTCCTCTTGTATATACTGGTGCCACATCACCTCTGTCCTTAGCAGCTTCAGTGTGACCTTAACCTCTGCCTTGTGCCAGGACAGGGAGAGCCACAGGTTGGTGCTCTGCTTAGCTGCTGCAAGAGCTGACCTCTAGAAGTAAGTGCTTCTGGCACCCTCCTCAAGGACTAGTGGATCAAAAGCTGGACATGACCCACCAATGTGCAGTTGCAGCCCAGAACGCCAACTCCATCCTGGGCTGTATCAAAAGAAATGTGTCCAGCAGATCAAGAGAGGTGATTCTGCCCCTCTACTCTGCCCTGGTGTGACCTCACCTAGAACACTGTGCCCAGCTCTGGTGCCCCCAGCACAAGAAAGATGTGGACCTGCTGGAATGTGTCCAGAGAAGGGCCACAAAAATGACCTGAGGGCTGGAGCAGCTCTCTGATGAGGACAGGCTGAGGGGGTTGGGGTTGTTCAGCCTGAAGTAGAGAAGGCTCTGGGGGGACCTCACAGTGGCCTTCCAGTACCTGAAGGGGGCCCACAGGAAAGCTGAGGAGGGGCTTTTTACAGGGGCCTGCAGTGAGAGGACAAGGGGTAATGGTTTTAAACTGAAAGAAGAGAGATTTAGGTTAGAGAGCAGGCAAAAAATCTTCAGTGTAAGGGTGGTGAGACACTGGAACAGGCTGCCCAGGGGTGTTGTGGGGACTCCATCCCTGGAGGTGTTCAAGGGCAGGTTGGATGGGGCTCTGAGCAGCCTGCTCTGGTGGGAAGTGTCCCTGCCTATGCAGGGGAGCTGGAACTCAATGATCTTCAAGGTCCCTTCCAACTCCAAACAGTCTGTGATTCTGTGATGTGTGAGCTCCTTGGCTTTTGGTAACCATCTGCCCCTTTTCAACTGGCTTTACTTGGTGCCAAACCATACAGATGTTCCCTGTGGTCTCAGAGGCCAGTAATCCAAGGCAAACAGCCAGCTAGAAACACAGCTCATCTAAAGTGGTATTTCATGAAGAAATGAACTAATTTCTAGTTTGAAGAAGGTTTCTGTGTGACTAGGGTTCACACATGGCAGGGGTCTGTCAAAGCCTTGTGAAACCATTGTTTATAAAACAGTTCTGGTCAAAGAGCCATTTAACTCAAGCTGTTTGCAAGTGCTGCTAGAGGGGTGGTCCCCACTGCCCCCAGCAATTGAGAAGGACATTTGTTGCTTGCCTGGGTGTCGTGGCTTGGGCCTAACATGTCAACAAAGAACCAGCCACGTGGCTGCTCACTCCGTTTCCCCCCAGAGCACACACACAGGAGAGGACAAAGCCCAACTAGAAGCTCATGGTCAAGAAAAAGGACAAGGAGGGTTCTTCACTGATTAAGGTCCCAGGCAAATCAGACTCAATTTGGGGAAAAAATAATAATTTAATTTCTCACTAATCAAACACACCCAGGACACAGACACACACAGAGCAGGGCTTGCATATGTTACCCCCACCCCTCCCTTCTTCCCGGGCCCAAATCCCTTTGTTCCCGGTTTCTCTCCCTCCTTCCCCCCAGTGGCACAGGGGGACAGGGGATGGGGTTTAGAGTCACTTCACAGGCTGGTGGTTCCTGCTGCTCCTTCCTCCTCAGGAAGAAGGATTCATTACAGTCCTTCCCTGCTTCCCCACGGGGTCCCTCCTATGGGAGAGAATCCTCCATGAACCTCTCCTTCCTGAGTCCTTCCCACGAGGTCCGGAGCTGCTCCAGCCTGGGCTTCCCACAGAGTCACGGCTGCTTCGGGAACAAACTCCCCTGGCACAGAGTCCTCCACAGCTGCAGATCCAAGTCCATGGGCTGCAGGTCCACACTCACCCCTCCTGGCACCTTCAGGGAACATTCCACTGTGCTCCTCCATGAATGCAGGGGAACAGCCCATCTTGCTATAGGTTACAGGGCACCTGCTTAGGCACTTCCTTCCTCTTCTTCCTCACCAGTCTCAGGATCTCCACGCTGGCACTGCTTTCACCTCTCCAGCCCAGCTCTTTCTCCACTGCTT